CCTGCCTGTCAGAGCCAACCCATTCAGAGAGGGATGCAACATCTAAGCCGACAGACGGAGATGCTTGATTTGTTTGTTTTTTTAAATCTCCTTGCAAGAATCGAACTCATGTGTTTTGTATGCGCTGTCGAAGCGCCGCATCGCTGCACTACAGAAGCCGTCGAATGAGGTGTTCTGTTGCTATTTCATGCAGCAAGTCCATAGTGGTACAACGTTGTTGAGTTGTGCAGTTGTTTTGTTTGTATTCCTTTTTTAGATTTCATTTTGAGTTGGTTTGGGGTTGTGTGTTAGTTTGTTGTTGTTTTGTTGGGGGGGGGGGGTAGGTGAGGGTTGCTTTTTGTTGTTGGTAGTGGTGGTAGTGGTAGTGGTAGTGGTAGTGGTAGTGGTAGTGGTAGTGGTAGTGGTAGTGGTAGTGGTAGTGGTAGTGGTGGTGTTGTTGTTGCTTAAATGTTTGTTTCGGTAGTCACACTATCTGCATAATCAAAACAAAAGAAAAAATAAGAAGAAATGATCATCATTGTGCATACTAATCGGAGTAGGGGAAGAAGGCGCAAGGGGGGGGGGGATAGAGAAATAGGGGATGGATGGAGGAAGGGATGAGGGAAGAGATGGAGAGAGAAATAGCGGGTGGCGTGAGGGAGGGGTAAGGGGGTGAGGAGAGAGAGAAGTTTGGGATGAGGAGAAAGGGAAGGGTGCCTGGAGGAGGGGGGAGAGGAGGGATGGAGTGAGGGGTGGGTGAAGGAGGAGGAAGAGACAAGTTGTAAAGTGAGGGGTGATGGAGGGGAGACAGAGAAATGTGGGATGAGGAGAGAGAAGAGTGCGGGTGGAAGGGGCGGACGAAGTAAGGGATAGAGTGAGGGAGGGATGAGTGAGGAGGGATGAGTGAGGAGGGAAGAGAGAAGCTGGGGATGGCGTGAGGGATGTGTGAAGGAGGGGAGAGAGAGAAGTAAGGGAAGACGTGAGGAAGGGGTTGGGGAGTAAGGTAGGGAAAGAGCGAAGGAGTAGTTGAAGGGTGAGAAAAGAGTTGAGGAAAGAGGGGGTACCGGTGAGAGAAGTGAAGGGGTTATGGGATGAGAGAGTGAAAAGGGATGGGCGTGGGGGGGGGGCGCAGAAAGGTAGAGGGGTAAGAGAGGGATGAGAAAGGTGGGGAGGAGAAGGATGAGGGGGGAGAGGGCGGAGATAGGCAGAGATGTGAGAAAGGTGGGGAGGAGATGGATGAGAGAAACTACTGAGGAGCGAGGATGGGGTAAGGTGAAGGCCGAAAAAGATATTTGCAGTAAAAGTTCGAATACCGCTTACTCAAAAACATGTCTATTTGTTGGACAAAGGTGGAGGGAGGGAGGGGTGACGTGGGTGGTAGGGGGGTGGG